TCCCCCAAACCGCTCGAGCGTGAGCCTCAACTTCAATGAAAATGTAGCCAGCGCCTCGGCGAGAGCGCCAGGGCGCCTGTAAGGGGTCCAACAATACCACTTCTTTAATAGTTAACAACAACAACAACAATCACTTTACCCGAACGCTCAGTGTTCTCACCAGTGCCAGGGTTTTCATGCGACGCCAGCCGATACCCCCACTTTGTGGGGGGGCAGTGCAAGCTCTACCAAATATCCACACGACTCTTCGCCACCACCCACACCCAGCTTCCCGCCCTATGACGTTCGGACACTTCACTTCGTGGCCTGCGGACGACCGTGGCTACTACACTGGCGTGGAGTACACACCCACAGAAGTTGTTAGGACAGCGCGCGCGGGTAGAAATTTTGAAAAGTCGTGCAGGTGTTTTTCGAGGACCTACGGTGCGATTCGTGTGATTTTATGATGCGCGGTGCTAAAATTCTTAAGAAGCCCAATGGTTTTTGGAGATTTCGGCGTGCGCGCGCGAAGAAAAAACGAATGTGTCCCGCATGGTATTATTTGACAGGGATGATGGCCCTGGCAGGTGCGCAACCGTTGTCGCAGAAGTTCGAAAAAGTTGCTCGCAAAAGCCCGTTTGACAGAAATGTTTAAAAAGTGTTGGTTTTCCTACGAATCCGCAAGAGCGCGCGGGATGAGATTTTGACATTTTTTTGTTGAAAAACCATTGGTTTTTTGATGTTTTTATGTTAAAATCGCTCCGAACACTAAGCTTTTGGAAGGATTTCGTCTTGCGCGCGCGAATGTCCACTTTACCTTATTTTTTGCAAGGGATTCTTGAAATTTGATTATATTAGAACAAGAAATGTCATTTTATAGTGTTTTTTGCAAGGGAAAACGGATTACAACAAAACAACCGGATCTGATGACATCGTTTACCTGAGGCTTCCTCACGAAAATGATGAAAATGTAGCTGCGGCCTAGGCGGCGCAGGGGGGGCGCGCACCAGGGGGCCCAACAATAATTATTCTTTAGAATTAATAATGTTCAACAACAACAACAACAACACCAACACCAACAACAACAACAACAACACCAACATCAACAACAACAGCAACAACACGACGACAACAACAACACCACAACACCACCAACAGCAACAACAACAATCACAACAACAACAACAACAACAACAACAACAACAACAACATCATCAATACCAACAACAACACCAACAACAACAACAATTTTAAGACTGATCGCCCTTATATGCTCGAGTGTCCAATAACGCGTATTTTCCAACCCTCGATACCCGCCCTCTTCGTCTTCGATCGAACCCCTTTTGGGGGGTATACCTTTCTTCCCTGCAGGCCGGGCCCCGGCAAGCGGCGGGGCGGCCGCGGACAGTCGGCCTGGCCAGCGGCAGCGCTGATCGGCGGGGCGGCCGCGGACCGTCGACCCCACCCCAAGAGGGACGGACAGGGGACCGACCACGACGACGACGACGACGACGACGACGACGACGACGACAACGTCGGAGACGACGGCGACGACGACGACGACGGCGACGACGAGCGAAAGCGAGAGCGAGAGAGAACGACAGCAGGGCTACGAAGGGCACGAAGTAGGCCACGAAGGGCGACAGCGGGGACACGAAGGGAATGCGTATGGGGCCACGAAGAGCGCGAACGAGCGGGGGCCACGAAGTGCAGATAATGCGGGGCCACAAAGGCAACTATGGGGCCTCTGAGGGTAGCAACTGGGCCACGTATGACAGTGAGGGGGACACAAATAGCGACAGCGGGGCCACGAAGGGCATGCACATGGGGCCACAACGGGCGCGACTCCTGGTTGCCTGGGTGTCGGGAGCGCGGCGCTTGGGCAAATTGCAGGAAATTCCAACGCAAGGCCATTCTTCAGTAAGTTGCAAGCAAGTCTCCGGCGAGAGCGCGACTCCAGAGCGCCGGGAGAGCGATCCCTTAATAAATTGTAAGGAAGTCCCAAGCGAGAGCGCGATTCCTGCATACAATGTGAGGAAGTCTCGGGCGGGAGCGGGGGTCCTGGCTAAATTGTAAGGAAGTCTCAAGCGGGAGCCGTTGTTGTTGCAACCCAGGGGCCAGGGGCCCAGTTTGAGTAGGAAGACTTCCCTGTCAAAAAACAAGGTGCGAGCGTCGAGGGGCACACTTTGATTGAAAAACAATATGCACCGGTGGGGGGATCAACAATAATCATTCTTCAAAAATGAGAATTCAACAACAACAACAACAACAACAACAACAACAACAACAACAACAACAACAACAACAACAACAACAAGAACAACTACAATTACAACAACAATAATAACAACAACAGGTACAACAATAATAACAACAGCAACAACACCACCACCACCACCAACAACAACATGTGACTGTGACGTGCACGGGGGCGACGAGGACGAGGGTGAGGAGCAGGAGGAGAAGCTCCGCGATGGGGAAGCGAATGGGGTGCGGGGGGCATAGGGGCCCTAAACCCTAAACCCTGAAGGGTGGGTGGGATGTGAGAGCACCGCGCCAGTGTATGACACGTCCAGTATGTTGACATCTTCGCCCTGGTTGACCCTCAACACAAAGCCCTAAACCGAGCCCTTATGGCAGCTCTCGGGGGAGAGGCGCCAAATCCGCGGCGCACTCGGCTGCCACGGTTGGGACGACGCCGCTGACACAGGGCTCCAACGTCACCCTCCTCAGCTCACCGAGCAAGCACAGGGCGAGCTGCCACTGGCCGCCCTTCTCGCACGCGCTGATGGCGCCGCTGAAGACGCAGGCGTTCGGCTCCACCCTCGCCTTCGGCATCTCGCGGAGCAGCGACAGCGCTCTCTGCCACTGCTTCGCCTTCTCGCAGGCGCTGATGGCGGCACCATAGCTGACCAAGGCTGGCCCGTGGATCGGGTCCCCTCCCGAGTGGACTGGCATCACCTGGCGCCCGCGGCCAAAGGCCCGGGTGCTGCTGGAAGTGCCTCTGGCTCGGGGCCCCCCCCGGGACTCACAAGGAGGCCCCCGCGGCCTGCAGAGCACCACTCACGAGGCCCAGGGGGCCCCAACGGGGGGCTCCAAAATTGAGCAGCACGCTGGGGACGCCCTGGGCCAGGGACACCTTCAGCAACCCCTGGAAGGTCCGATGGGTCGACGCTGGAGCGTACCAGCACCAGAGGCTGGGGCGCGCGCAGACAGCTCACCCTCAGATTCTCGGCGTGCGCGGCGCGCGGTCCCCAGCTTCTCTTCGGGGGGTGGCGGCCTCTACGCAGAATGTTTGGGCTTCTGCGTGGCGGCGCGTCGACCCTCCCCCTTGGGAGGGGGGGGGGGCGGAGAAAGGCGAGGAGGGGGGCGGCGGGAGCAGGGAGGCAGGCGGGGTGAGGGAGCGACGTGAGTAAGGAGGGATGGGGGGGAAGGTGATGTCTGTGGGGCACCTTGGGCCCCTGCTGGACAATCCTGGGCGACGTGGGGGGCATCTTGGGGCCTTTGGTGGCCACCTTGGGGCGATCTTGGGGATCTCTTGAGGCGCTGCCATCTTGGGATCATCATGGGCCTGACGGGTGATCCCTGCGGGACACGGTTGGCAACGTCTGGGTCGTATTAGGTCTCCCAGGAGGAATCTCTTGGAAACAAAGCTGGCAACCACAAATTTATGTTTCTCTCCCCGGTTGAACCCCCCAGGTATTTTAGCCGACGCTCACCAGAGGTTTGTCACAGAGCGGTGGCCTCTCGGGCCGAAAACGGAGCAGACGAGTTCCACTGAACTTCCTGCCCCGTCTTGCCTCTCGCCAGCGCCGCCAGCCCCGAGCGGCCGATTTCCCCCCCGGAACCCGAAGCAGGGCCCTCGGAGGCCTTTGAATCCAGAAACCCTCCACGGGACCCCAGACCGAGACCAGATGAGGGCCGCCAGCAGCCCGAAGGGAAGAAAGGCGCTGGGTGAGGCAAGGCGTGACTGAGAGGGCAACGAAACTCCCAAGAGCGCTCTTCCTCCAATGAGGGTGGCTCGAGGGTGGGAGCACAAAACTTCGGACGAGGCGGCACGCGTCGCAAGCAGACTGGGGGGGGGGGGTGAGCGTGGCACGAAACAACACACATTAGAACATGATAGTATGTTTCTCTCCCCGCTTAACCCCCCAGGTCTTTTAGCCGACGCCCACCAGAGGTTTGTCACAGAGCGGTGGCCTCTCGGGCCGAAAACGGAGCAGACGAGTTCCACTGAACTTCCTGCCCCGTCTTGCCTCTCGCCAGCGCCGCCAGCCCCGAGCGGCCGATTTCCCCCCCGGAGCCCGAGGCAGGGCCCCCGGAGGCCTTTGAATCCAGAGACCCTCCACGGGACCCCAGACCGAAACCAGATGAGGGCCGCCAGCAGCCCGAAGGGAAGAAAGGCGCTGGGTGAGGGAAGGCGTGACTGAGAGGGCAACGAAACTCCCAAGAGCGCTTTTCCACGACTCCCTCTCTGGCTGTGCCGAAAAAACCTTTGGCCACATCGTAGGCCAGCAAACTTGCCAAGATAACAGAGTGCCTGATGGCATGCTGGCGAGAACTGCATCTCTGAAAGGCCTCTGCTATGTATATACGAGCAGTGGCCGAACTCTGCCATTTCCCTTTCTCAAGGGTGGCAAGCATGTTACGAGTTCTCACAAACTACGATGTGGCCCCCCCCTCGTCTGAGACTGTCAATGGGAAACTCAATTGCTGGCATTCGAGGGCAGTGCACAACTGCTCAAACTTGTCACGAAAATAAAATGATGCCCGAGGTGAGAAGGAGAGCTTCAGGATAAGATGATGAAGCAAGAGAACGGCGAGCTGCACAACTGGCGGGTCATCGATCATCACTCACGCGGTTGATGGAACCGCAAGCTTCTTTGTGACTGAAGGATGATGACTGTCTTGGCGCGAGCCACGACGGTCGCTGTCTGCCACCGGTGCAGCGACAGCATCTCGGCGGTCCTAAGGAAGTTTGCGAAGCCCATCCCGAGCAGCGTTGCGATGTCGTTGGACTCCAGCCCCTCGCCGTGGCCGCCATCACCAGCAGGACCCCCTCGGGCAATGGCAGGACGCTCCGCGGCAGCTCGAGGTTCTGCCAAGCACGCAGCAGTCGCCCAGCGGCTGGCAAGGCTCGCTTCTTCCGCAAGAGGAACTGAACTGTCGATATCGCGCGGCCCGCCAGGCCCTGCGGGTGGCCCTCGGTGCAGAGCCACTCGATCCACTTGGTCACGCGGCGGTCGAGCTTGACAACGTGGTCTGAAACTCCCGTCCACGTCGGGCCTCGGCTCACAACCCAATTTGAGAATGGTCTAAGTGCATTGTGGTAACGAACGAGGGTCCGCGGCTGCACCAGATTGTGAAGGAGAGGCGCGCCACAGCAGCTCGAAGGTGTGGGCGTGTGGCCTGATCTGCTGCCGCTCGCGCGCAGCGAGATGAACCCACTGGCACCTGGCGGCCGCCCAGAACTCACCGCCGCCCGCGATGGACCTTCGGCGGGGTTGCGGTCGGATTCTGCGTAACTGCACATGGGGCGAGCCAGAGCAGCCACGATCAGGACACCAATACGTCGAACTGAGGAATGCCGTAGATGTGAGGATGAGCGACCACGAGTGCTCACTCCCAAACCTGCCTGCGAGTCCATGAAGCGACAGGAACTTGTACGTAAAAGATGAGAGGAACGTGAACTCCGTATGCGAGCCCCCAGTGTTGCGCGCACCCCGAGGTCCGTGATGTGTGATGGTCTTTCCCACTCCCAGCTGGCGATCGCGCGCCAGGTCCAGCGGGCCCCGCTGAACGGCCTCCTGGGCCACTGGTCTGGCTGCGTCGCCTCGCAGGTGTCCAGCCTGATGTGGCCGCCACGAGCCTGAGGCCGACGCGCCAGCCCCTCCACGATCACGAGGCTCGGGTCCAGCGCCGCGTCCGGCTCCTCCAGGTTCTGCTGCTTGATGGGCACGCCCTCAACGTGGGTGACGTCGTCGATGTCGACGCTGTCGTCCTCGATCGTGGCGCCGCCACCGAAGACGCGCATCTCCACCACTGAAGGGACGGCGTGCAAGTACCTAAACTTCACCGCCTCGTGTGCCAGGATCCACGCCTCTGCCATCCACTGGGAGCTGTTGCCCCGCGGGGAGCGGTAAGTCGCCTCCAGCTCGAGTTCTCCCAGCCTTCTGGCCGAGGTGACCCGAGCTGTCATGGCGTGCCCTGGCAAGAAGTCCAGAGGTAGCTCTCTCTCCACGCTGTTAGGTGGACTGGACACACCACAGGGCTCCTCGATGCGGTTCTCGTTCCCGAACTGGTATGGCGCATCGTAGTACTCGAAAGCTTGCCATCTCTGAAGTTTCTCCCCAGAGCGGCGCTGCAGCCCAGCATGCAAAGCTCCAGGGGCGCGCCGAGGAACACATCGCAAGAGCGTTGGCAGCCGAAGGTGTTCATCCGCGTCTCCCGCCCACTTGAGATCCTGGCTCAGCGAACGCCTCGCCGGGCTAGGGCCCCTCGGCATGTGGATCATCTTGGCGCCCTCGAGGACGGAGACGTCGCCTTGCCACCCGCGCAGTAGGCTCTCGCCGATCCAATACAGGCGGTCGCGATAGCGGTGCGCGATGCCGCCAGCTCCGACACGACGTGGCTGGTGACCGAAGTGTTCGCCCATAAAGTTGCGCGGCTCGGCATCCATCGAGGTCAAGTTCTCGGTCGGAGTCATGGGCCGACAAGACTCACCCAGCACTTGCCCTAGGAGTAGGCGGATGCGGGAGATCTCAATGAACAGCTCTGAGCGCCCCCCCTGTGGCCCGACGTGCTCCACGCTGAGGCGAGCGAGGTCGGTGCACGGGCTTCCGCCGATGAGGAGGAACCACTCGATGTGGGGCGCGCGCTCCCTGAACGCCATCGCCTCAGCGTGCCCGAAGGACTGCGCGTCGCCCACCTTCAGCATCTCGGGCCACGCATACTTGGTCACTCTCTTGGCCTCGGCATCGAACTCCGCGGACACGAACAGCCCCGAGGTGACATCCAAGAGGTCCAAGGTGCTGCGAGTCCCTCCCATCCCATCGAAGAGGGACACCAACGCCACCGCGTCGTGAAAAACCGTCACGGGCCTCCTGCTCGCTGCTCTTGCCGCTGCGACTCCATCTTGCCCAGGAAGAACGTAGCGGCAGACGGCGCCCCTCTGCATGTTGGCGTCGCACACCGTCACCAGAACGCAGAAGGGTATGCGTAGGTCGCAGCTCAGAAGTGGCAGCCGCGCCAGGGCCGAGATGAGCCCCTCGCGGACCTTGGCAGGCAAAGAGGCTTGGCCCTTGAAGCGGACCAAGACCCGCCACAACTCGGTGAAGCGCATCATCGCCTCCCTCCTGAAGCACACGCGACGCGCCCAGCGGCCCGCCAAGACCTGCATCCATTTCTTCGTGACGCCCCTCCATCTGAGCGTCGCGATGGTAAGAGAGACCAAACGCTCCCCGAACTGGGCGGGGGGCCTGCTCATGCCCTGAGCCTTGTCGACCGCCCCCCCCCGGGGCTGCGACTTCAACTCCTGGGTCGCGGCCTTGTTCTCGCTCCGAGGCACCCCGAAGCTCTGGCACCCCTCACTCGCTACCTGTGCCAGCTCGCTCATGCCCTTCTCCCGGAGCTGGTGCGCCTGCCGCCAGGCGGTGAACTCGAGCACGTCCAGGTCGTCGCTAGTGCCGCCAACCTGGCCCCGAACAGGGGCCACGGCTCCACCGTCGCGGTGGGCCCGACGCGCAGGCGGCATGGGAGCATCATTACGAAGCTCCTCCCAGGCAGCCAGCGGTTGGAGTCGAGGATGCCACGATCGAGGCAGATAGCGATGGATGCGTTGAAAAACTTCTGTCGCTGAGAACCAGCCCATGGGGGCCACCGCGGCCGCCGGAAGAGTCGGCCCCGCCCCAGGTAGACCGACGGCGCCCCGCCGCGCCGGCTTGGAGAAGGCCAGGCACTCCAACCAGGCGTCGCACAGGCTGCACACGTAGAAGTAGCACTTCAGCTCCTCCGCGCTCCAGAGCAAGAAATCCCCCGGGCGCGGTACCATACTCCTCCACTTGTCGCTGTGAGGGGGCAAAAGCATGTCCCCCTTTATTGCATGCTGAATGAAGTTGGACGGGGTGATGTTCATTACCAGACTCTGGGGGCTCTCACCCCCCGCGTGGGAGCCCTTCTTCACGCCGAACGTGCCGCCCATGATCTTCTGGCCACTGAACTTCACGATCTCTTTGTGCTCGGTGGGCTTCAGGATGTCGCGCGTGACGAGGTTGCCTGCGAGCAGCTCCCACTCTGAGTTGGGGCCCCGCACCCTGGGCGACGGCGGCAGGTCTCCAATCCCCTCCACATTTATCAAGATGAACCTGGGGTCAGACAGCGCCGCCTGGAACCAGCCCTCGGTGACGTCTAACGCCTTGACCGCCGTGCAAGCCCCGATCGGCGGCAGCGCCTCCAGTAACCTCGGCCTGTCGAGCGGCTCGGCTGGGAAGACCTCCTCGCCAACATGCGAGGTCGCCGCCGCTGTCAGCTCCGACTCCCAGTCCGCGATGGGTGTCGCTCCTGAGCGCTGATGACGGAACGCCCGAACCTCGTGCGGCAAGGTGTTGAGCGCCTGACGCTGCACGGCGCTCGGTGGCGCCTCAGGGGCGGCCGACCAGCCGCGCACATAGTGGTAGTTGATGCCCGTGCCGATGGCGTGCGCCCAGCTCAGCTTTGCCTCCGTGCCCTCGGCCAGCAAGCCGCTCTCCTTTGCAGGATCTCCACGACCAAGAGGGGCGGCTCGAATGTTGAACGCGATCGGGAGATGAGGTAGATCTCGTTTCTCTCGTCGACCGTTCGGTGGTGAGCGTCGTGAACCATCAGAAAGAACATGGGGCACTAACAAGTTCATCTCGGAGACTCCGAGGATTATGATGAGGTAGAGCTGATGCAGCGTCGGAGGGTATACGCTGAGAGGCCGGGTATGAGTAGTCGCCAATCACATTACGCTCGGAGGAATGTCGACGAGCCGAACGTGAAACTGCATGCATCGGTACGGCATCGGGTTCACATTGAGGAGCCAGAAGAGGTGCACTATCAACGCCTGTAACATCGAGAATGCGTTGAGGAGCCAGGTGTGGATGAACGCGATCTTCTAATAAGCGGGTAAACGTGTCAGGGTGCGGTGCAACGCACGGCCAATCGTTTGCAGTACACAGTCCCCCGAGAGCTCCAGCGGAGAGCCAGAGACAAGGCCAGATGAACAAGGTAATGAATTCATGAAGTCACCCTTTGCGCCCAGGTGGACGTCGTGCTCCACGTCATGCATGTTGGCGAAGTAAGAAGGGGAGGGCTTCTCGAAGGCGTCGGCATCCAAAGTGGCGAACCTGCCAGACTCGCCTCCACTGGAGCTCGCCTCGATCACAAACTGGGGGCTCAACGACGGTCCGTGCTCATCGGCTTGCCCTTCGATCTCTGCGAGTACCCCCTGCCGAGGCGCTTCCCAGGTTTGCCCTTGCCTAGTTTGCCTTTGCCTCGGCCCTGGGACCCCATGCTCTTGCGGCCCTCGGGGTTCCTCGGAGGGCCCTGGTTCGACCTCCGCGTCGGCGACTTCGAGCTCGCTCGCTTCTCCGAGTCCTCCACGAAGTGAATTCGTGAAGCTGGAGGGGACGGCCTGGCATTGCCCTGCTGCCGTGGGCGAGGAAACGGCCACCTGCAGGGACCTGGGCTGACTCCTCCGCGAGGACTCCCGCGCGGTGAACCCGGCACGGCGGCGGCAGAGGGCGGTGCTGCAGGCGGCATGCCTGGCTGCGCTGGCCTCCCTGCGGCGGCGCCTGGGTGTGGGGCGGCCCCAGCGGCTGCGCTCGCAGCTGCTGCCCGCCGCTTCTCCACGCGCCAGCGTGACTTTCTCAGAACCTTCTCGCGGGAGAGCATGGAGGTGACCTGCTGGGGGGCGGTCTGGTTCTGGTTCTTGCCAAGCCCCGCGGCTGCTGGCCTTGGCCACGCTCTCCGTCAGGTCGTGGATCCTCCTGCGCTGGCTCTCCGCTACGTGCACCTCCTCCTGCTTCGCGGATCCCGCTCCCCGGTCGTCGCAAAGCTCGAGGTGCGGCGCCACCCGCCAGTGTCCGTCTTGCGTGGCTCGCTCGATCGCCTTCCGCCTCGGTGTGAGGAGGTCTCCGAGATCCAGCTGTCCTTGAAGCAGGGCGTCGAGGCACTCGCCGACTGTTCTGAAACCGCGCCCGTTCCTCACTCCCACCTCGCTCTGAGAGGGGTGACCGTGCCAGACGCTGGTGATGTGTCGCACCTCTGATGATGCTAGCTCGTCCAGGCTCTCGTGACCACCCTGCCCCTCACGCCTCGCCAGATACTTCTTGATCCCTTCTGCTCCGCTGAGTAGCGCACCAAGTCCCCCTCGCGCCAGATGAGCAGTCCTGTGGCCTGGTTCGACGTGTGGGGCGCCGTCAATAAACGAGTCCTCGGAGCGGCTGTCATCTGAACCATCACGGCGTTGACTTCGGCCATGGCGTCTGCGTTTGATCCTCGTCAAGGTAGCCTCGGCACAGACCGTCCATGGCTCGCCGATGCTTTGCTTCTGATGCGGTCGCTTCTTGAGCCCAGCAATCTTCTTCTTCTGCAGATCCTCGGGCGTGGGCTGGGCTGCCGGACCTCAAGGAGCGAAAAGCGCGGTAGCAGGGAGGGCAGCGGCGGGCGCGCCTGCTGCAGCTCCAGGGTTTGCACCGCCAGGCTGCTGAACCCAGGCCTCCGTCAAGTTGCTGGGCGAGCGCATGCGGTAGGTCTCCTCGCGCAGCACCGACCTCTGAGGCCACTGGCCCTGTCCAGCACACTCACTTGCCTGCTGCGTGCATAGGTGTGACACCGCGCCTCCTCGGCTGGTGAAGCTGCCAGCCAGCGTGGGCCACCGCGAAGCGCTGCTGCAGCCCATGAACCACGCCTCCACGAAGCACTCCATGCCATCGCCAGGCCACACACTCCGCACCTGAAATAGTGCAGTCTCCGCAGCGCTCCCGAAATCGTCCAGCGTGACGCCCTCCAGCATGCATCCTGGGCTGAGGCCCGAGCGCTGGTAGGCCGTCGGCGGCGACGGGCCGTGCATCCAAGGGCCTGCTCCTCCTGGCGGGGCCGCCAAACCGCAGCCATCAGCGCCTCCCGCGGCGTGCGCGCCTGCAGCCAACACCCAGCCCAGCAAGCCGCCTCCTCCAGGGGCGCCCCTCGCGGCACCTTCACCTCGGAGGCCTCCTCCAGCAGCGCCGTTGACGGCGACTCCGAGGCCAGCGCACCCAGCTCCAAAGGGCGCTCCGCCTCCAGCCACTCCAGGGCCTGGCACAGCAGGGATACCTGCGGCACCTGCATCGGGCACCATGCCTCCCAAGGGCCCGTCAGCGCCAGCCACCGCCCCTCTGGGGGGCTCGCCTGCAGCTCCGCCAGCGGCGCACCTCCTGCACCGTCTCCTCCCGCAGCGGCCGCTCCAGCGACGCCTCGCCGAGCCCCAGCGCGTCTGCGAGCGCCGCCAGCGGCGCCTCCCGCAGCTGTCGCCCCGCCGCCTCCAGCCGGTGGTGCTCCTGCAGCGCCTCCAGCCGTTGCAGCCGTGCCTCCGACAGGTGAAGCCTTAGTCGCACCTCCAGCAGCTGCAGCATCGTCACGTCCACGTCCGATCACCTTGGCCTGCGCCTTCGCCCTGCCTCGGCCGATGCCTTGACCATGGCCGACTCCCGCAGGCGGCGCAGGCAGCGCCGCCGCGGCCCCCGTCGGCAGCGCCAGGAAACCGCCCGCGCCAGGCGTGCCTGCTCCAGGCGCTCCGCCTCGCCTTCGGCTCGCGCCGAAGACCACAGCCGCCAACAGCGCCGCGGCCACCGCCGCCATCAGTGCCGCATCGCCACGGCCGTGTCCCCCTTCCCCCCCCCCTCGACCGGTGACGAACCAGGGTCAATGACGACACCATCTACTATCCTTGTCAAACAGGTCATCCATCGCGGACCCCAAACAGTGATTCCTTGTAATACATATGGTGCAATCTAGGTGGTGCAATCTAGGTGGTGCAATTCACTTTGACTGTCTTGAAGCTGTCCTCTCCGCTGCTTATGCAAACATCCCACCCTCCCACCCGCAACTTGGTCGCATGACCTCTTGAGACCGGGACGGTGGGTGCCAAATTGCACTTGACGACGACTACGCCGACGACGTCTACGACGACTTCGACGGCGACTCCGACGACTTCGACGACGACAACGACGACGACGACGTACCGACGACGACGACGCCGACGCCGACGCCGACGACGACGATGATAACGCCGACGACGACGATGATAACGCCGACGACGACGACGACGCCGACGACGACGACGCGGACGACGACGACGATGACGACGACGACGACGACGACGACGTCGCCAACGAAGACGACGACGACGAGGGAGGAGGGAGGACGACGACGGCGACAACGACGACAACGACGAGGGAGGAGGGAGGACGGCGACGACGCGAACGACGAAGGAGGGAGGACGGCGACGCCGACGACGACAACGACGAGGGAGGAGGGAAGACGACGACGACGACGACGACGGCGACGAAATAGGAGGGACGACGACGACACGCCAACGACGGACGACGACGACGACGAGGGAGGAGGAAGGACAACCTCGGCGACAACGACGACGGAAACGACGACGATGCTAAAGAGGACGACGACGACGAAGAAAGACAGAGGACGACGACGGCGACGAAAACGACGACGACGACGACGAGGAAGGAGGGAGGACGGCGACGACGACGACGACGCAAGAGCGCGCGTGCGCAAGCTTTTGTTGAACATCCGTGTTGCGAACCCCTGTGTTGTTGTATGGTGTTTGGACGCTCGATTTTGAAATCCGTCCGAAACCGAAGGTTTGTGCAGGATTTCGGCATTCGCGCGCGACGACGCGCGCGCGTGCACTTCGTCCAGTTTTTTGCAGAGGATTCTCGCGACGGCACGCGCGCAAGGGCGTTCGAACGATTTCGACATGCGCGCGCGTAATGCCTGTTTGGTAGTATGTTCTGAAACTGCTGAAAAATCTAATGGTTGTCTTAAGATCTCGCAGGAGCGCGCACGTAAGCTTTTTGGAACAACAATGTTGGGAAACCCTGTGTTTTTGCATGCTTTTGGAAACTCGATTTTGAAATCCTTCCGAAACAATAGGTTTTCGAAGGATTCCAGCATGCGCGCGCGACGACGCGCGCGTGCGCACTTCGTCCAATGTTTTTGCAAGGGATCCTTGAACACTTCTGATTCTTGATGAACGAATGTGCGCGCATAGTATTTTTTGCAAAGGAAACGAAGGGGGGTCGATACCGGTTTGGCTGGGGTAATATGAATTCACAATTCGGATGGACGAAGGGGGCAGAATCATATGTAAATTGCAATACGAAAAAAGGGGTCTGTAAATCTGGGGGGGGGCGAGGATGGTAGAACCTATCTCTTTCTTAGAAACGAGAAACAAATAGGCGCGCAGCAGTGCACGGTGCAACGCCAAGCAATGTACTGGAATCAGGAGCAACGCAAAGCAATGTACAGCAATGAAAAGCAATGCGCAGCAACGCACAGCAATACAAAGCAATGGAAAACAACGCGACATACTGCCACGCAATACAAAATGCGAGCCTAGCACAATCAAAAGCGGGACCAAAGACGCCGGCGGCGACCGGCGACGGGCGGCGACAAGCCAGCCGGACCCACAACCAGGCCCAACGCATGCAAAGTGCGAGCCTCGCACAATCGAAATCGTAACCAAGAACGGCAACGACGGGCGGCGACAGGCGGCCGCAAGCCGGCCGGACAGACAGCTAGGCTCAGCTCCTTAGGACAGAAAAAAACAACACCTCAGTGCAAACATTGGTTGGGGGACGGTGCGACGTGCAAGTTAAAGCAGCATCTGGATAAATGTTCGGGCGCCGCGCGTAGGGCAATCACTATGTATTGTTTGTTGACAGGAACGACGGGATGCCATCATATTGCGCCGCGTGCACGGGCCCACCATCCTTGTCGGAAACAACTGCGAAGTGTACATTGAAGTGTCTGCGAGCCCACCATCCCTGCCAACAGACACATGCAAGTACACCATGCTGACCGCCCCGCCTCCACTTCGCATTGGTGTTTGACCAGGATGGTGGAGGGCCGACATGTTTCCCGGCGAGAGCTGCCAGGTGTGCTGTCGCACATCTGGCGCACCAGGCGCGCCTGGGTCCCTGGGGCGCCCGGGCACCTGGTGCAAGATGAGCAGCCAGCACGTGCGGCGCACCTCGCGAGCGTCACGCAACGGCTCCACGTGGCCACGGGGCACCCCAATGACACCCTCGAGGGGCCAAAATCCCCTGGAAACCGCTTGAGCAGCAATGCTGGTTGAGTTTTCGCCGTTTCGCTTCCGCTTAGCTTCTACGGCCTCAAGGTGGCTCCCATATGGCCCACGCGGGCCCCAAGATGGGCCCAGGAGGGTTCCAAATTGGCCCCACGAGCGCCCAAACAGGAACCCAAGAGGCAATGTGTTGAGCTCCAGAGGGGCGGGATAGTTAAAGGACGCCCCCTTCGCTCAAAAACAACACAGTTGAAACACAAGTGATGGTTTCATAGGTTTCGGCATGTTGGGGGCATCCTTCGAATCATGTTTGGCCAACACGAAAGGCTGCTCTATTCAGCCCACGATGGCCTCCAAGATGGCACACGACTGCCCAATCTGACTCAATGTAGCTTTCAACTTTCGTCCAAGCGGCCTAGTACAAATCCCAAGCGGCTCCAAATGTCCACGGAGCCTCTCCCTTCCGCCTAAAATTTCAGGAGGCGGTTAATGTTGGCATTCTCGCCTAGGACTCCAGCGGGGCGGCGCTGTCAGGGGACCCCCTTCGTTGATCGATGTCTCCACGATGGCCCCAAGAGAGTCTCAAGGGGGTCCCGTGAGGCCCTCAGCATGGCGCCAAGAGAGCCCCAATGGCCTCGAAGGCGGCCCCAAGATGGCCCTCCCAGGCTATCAAGATGCTTCCATATCGGAACAAATAAGAAGGCATCTAGAGTTCACTCGTGGGTCCTCTCGGCCAGTTCCCGAGTTTCGGTTTGAAAGCTGCCTCCCTCTTTGTTCCACTGCTTGTCTCTACACTTCCCTGACCGGCGCAATTCGCCTGGGAATCGTTTCTAGATGGACTGGTGGAGATACACGAAGCGTCAATCATCATTACCCCTGCCTTGGTAGACTGGTGTTATTCGACACCTTACATGTTCGTGTGAGTCCGTCAGGCCTGCATGCTGGCAAGCAAGCAGGACACACAAGTACATCAGAGTGTGACCCACTTGCAATAAGAGTCACATTCGCATAATCCTTGATATGATGGCTCGGCTTCGCATCCTGTTGGCCCCGCAACGGTGCTGCATTTTAGATATCGCATGTCGTGCGCTGGTAGGGATTGAAGGGCTCAAGGGCAGCACGTGCAGACCCACCGACCTGCCTATGACTTGTCACCATGCGAACACAGCCACACGAGCACAAACTGATCTCGCGCGCCTACGTCGGAATATTATCCCACGCCCCAGACTTTCTGCCACGTCCGGCCTTTATTTCCATGTGCTGCATGCATCGTTCAATACTGATTGGCCCACTTCCTTGTACAACGTCATCGCCTGCTTGCAATCACCGTATTGTTCACAAAGGCTGATCACAATTCGATAAACTTCGACATCCGGCTTCAGTTTTAAGAGATGCATTTCCCCGATCAGTGATAGCGTGTGCTGCCACTGCCCGCCCTTCTCACACGCGCTCATTCCCAAAGTGTGGCTGACTAGGTCTGGCCCGTAGATCATCCGCGCGCGTGCGTGCACATTCACAGATATTCCTCTGCATAAATGTATACACGTAGATATACACAGATCAAAACGCATGGCGCTGGATTGCAAACTCCAAAACGTCGGTCGCGGAGGGGCGTCGTACAGATTACATGTTCGCTCCCCCGTGTGCACCGAGCGCGCCTAATAACGGGGCAGCAAAGTATCAACGCCGGCTCACCTGATCACCAGCGCAGGCCCGGGAAGTTCCTTTGAGAACCATCGTTCCTGAAAGGCTTCGTGAATTCTTCCTCTGTCCCATCTTTCTACCCTACTTGCACGACCAGTCTATTGTCAGAACAGTTGAGGAATCAGACAGACAGTAAGAAGAAGGGTGAACAAAAGGAGAAAGGGTTATCGAGGAGCACGAATGTGCATGCGTACAGATATAAATATTGCCTCCATCCCCTTCCCCTTTTCAATCTCCACCCGCCCACCCTCATCCTTCCCTCCATCCCCCATGAGATACATGGTCCGTATACCAGATTCACCAGCAGAAGGTGTTGCTTTCGAACGCTCGCAAGCACCGACCTCCTAAGATGTTAGAGCTCATGAGCCCCACCCAAGCTCGGCACGGTTTTGCCGATCATGAAAGGCAGCGGCGCTCACTACAATCCTTGCCCCCTCCTTCTTAATGCAGCCGTGATCTCCACCAGTCGCCCCATCGTTTGCCCTCCCGCTCTCACTGGGGGGATGCGCTGTGACCAGCACCGAAGACATGAAATTGGCCCGTCGTTGAGACGTCGCCGGCCACCGTGGGCAACCTTTGGGCCGTGCTGGGGACATTCGAGCTCAATTCTGGCCCCCTACACCACGCGAAATGGTTAAGAAATCATGGGTTAAGAAATTCATAGTCTCAGAACTTGACTAAAACCCAGAACTTCTATCAACATCTTGGGATTTACATTCAAAAATTAAGAATAATCGAGACTCTGGCCGAAACTTTAGGTTTTCTTAAGCATCGCCTAAGGGGTAAACCATACGTATATTGCTTGGGTGCTATCTGGGCGACGTCTGGGAACCAACAACCCCGAGACCTCAAAACGAAGTTCGGGGACTGTCTTTGGAGCATCGTTGGGTTCGCTTCATGTTGGGGACCGTCGAGGTCCCCTGTTTGCGCCGTCCTGGCTCGTCACGGGGCCGCTCTGTAGAAGTGCAACGGCAGAACCAGCTAAGACCATCCTGAGGGTGCTTTAATGGTTCGACCGCCACTGTTGGCATCCAGGGGCCGTCTGGGGGCCACCTCAGAATCATGAAATAAGGAAGAGAGAGGGGGGATGCAGATGGAGGAGGCGACAAGACGGAATGAGGACAATGGGATGGGCGATGAGGGAGACCGACAGAGCATGAAGGGAGGGGCGGTAGAGGTGGGATGAGTGAGACGGGAGGAGACAGGAGTGAGGAGTGAGGAGTGGGCAGCGAGGAAAGGAGGCGGGAGGTGTGCAGGAGTAGGACGGAGAGGTGGAGAGCGAGGATGGGGCCAAACCGTATACCCAACAACGGAACGACTCCATAGCAACCTCGTGTGTTCTAACCCGGGACCTCGCGCATGTTGGGATGTCATGCCTGGCACCGATCACCATACACGCCGCCCTTTTCCCGCCCTCCCGCCAAGCCAACGGCTCGGGCGATTATGTACACAGGCGCGGCGCCGAGCCAGACAGGCGACCAACATGGAAAACACATCATTCAGTGCCCATCGAACACTGCAACACGCAGATCGAACCTACCAACCCAAACGCCACCAACGCACCCGCATGCATCCGCAAAATCTGCCACAAACGTATCTCACCCACCCGCATGAAACAACAACCCAAACATCCCCACCCAACCGTCTCAACTTCCACCCAGCTGCCCCACCTCTCGCTCTGTTTCCTTCTCACTCTCCCTCTCTCTCTGTCTCTTTTTTGGTTTCTCTCTCTCTCTCTCTCTCGCTCTACCTCTCTCCCTCTCTGTCTGTCTCCCAGGCCTAACACTGCCACCGACGTATTACTTCCCAGCCGCCTGAAACTGCAAGCCAAATGTCCTTACCCATCCGCCTAAATGAGCAAACGTAATATTCTCATCAACCCGCCTCCCGCCTCAATCTGTAAACCCAAAAGTCTAACTCACCCGCCTGGAACTGCCGCCGACGTATCATCACCTCCCCGCCTGAATCTGCAGCGCAACTGTCATCGCCCACTTTCCTAAACCTGCACATCTCATGCATTATCTCACACGGGGTTGAACATGTAATCGAGCGACCAAGTCGAGTTCACTCAGTCAATCAATCAATCGCTGCGTCCCCCGAGAGATAAACTACTTGCGGGCCGCACCCGTAACCTCAGGTTAAACAACATGTGAGCGACGAAAAAAAACGGTTCTTACGCGAGATGGCATAGCGACCTTGCGCGGCAACTTTCGCAGGACGCTGTCGCGGCACGCTGCATTGAAGACGAGGGCGCTTACGCGCGGCCTTACGCGGGCAACTTACTTGCGCGCGAATGTCGGCGCAAACGTACCCGTTTTTTCTGCGTCGGTCGTGTGCTCGAACCCCCGTCAGGGTTTCAGCGGCCACGGCGTCACACGCTTCTTGCTGCTACCGCTCACCAGCTCCTAGGCGGGCTCCGAGGAGGGCAGAGACGCTTCCGAGGAGCTAGGAGAGGCGTCTGGGCGGTCCTGGAGCTGTCTTGGCACGACCTCGAGTGGTCTTGGACCCTCTCGTCGGCGGCGAGCGAGGGGGGGCAAAGGGAGAAGACGAAGGCCCTGCCAGAAGGCGACGGAGATTCTCTGAAGTCCTCCGGCCTGCTGCGAAGCCTTCTGTGCCTCTGGGGAGGGCGTGGAATGCTTCTCGGAAGGTCCAAGCCGTTCGAGCCTTCTGAGAAGGCCCGCCCCCTCTCACTCCCCCCCTGGGATGGCCGCCGATCCGGGGCTTTCTAGCAGCCCTTGCTCGGGCCACCTTACGTCAGATCGGGGCACATTTGCGGCTTGCAGCATCGGCGGGCAGCATGGTGTTGCCGCCTCTGAGGCCGCCGGGGGGCCATCTCAGCTTATCTTAGGTCCTCGTGGGGCTCTGCGAGCGGTCGTCCTTGGGGGACCGTCTGACAAGTTTGCGCTTTGATAACCGTCGTCAGGCAAGGTGCTGGACCAGCCAGACCATCCAGTGATGGGCACAACGAGAAGGCTCAGACCGAGGGGGGTCCAATTCGGCATCCGTCGCGTTTCTCCTGCACGTCGCCCCAGACAGTTGAGGGATACGTAGCACTGCTCTTGTCTGGCTTCAACTCTGCCCTCGACGACATGTCCCGGAGCAGCGCCAACGCCCACTGCCACCGGGCGGCCTTCTCGCAGGCGCTGATCACAGCGGAGCAGCCGATGACGTTCGGGCCCCACCCCGCCTCGTTCATCTCCCTGTGCAGCGAGAGGGCCTGCCACGTTCTCTCCCTCAATTTGCTTGCTCCGCCTCATCCTCCTTCTCTGCACCCTCATTCTCATTCACCTCCTCCGCCTGGTCTCGCTCTTCCTGCTGCATCTGCGCAACCTCCTAGTCCTCATCCTCCTGTCGCATCTTTCTTCGGGGCCTGCTGCCACTGCCCGCACTTCCCGCACGCGCTGATCCCGGCGTTGTAGCTTATGGCGTCTGGCCCAAGCCTCGCCTCCCGCACCTCGCCGAGTGCCGACAGTGCGCGTTGCCACTGCCCGCCCTTCTCGCACGCGCTGATGACGGCGTTGTAGCTGATGGGGAGGACGTGAAGGAGGGGTATGAGGGGGCCACCAGGGGCAGGAGAAACAATGAGGAGCAGCAGGACGGGTCAACGTTAGGCCAACGGCACAAGACAATGAACACGTCGTGACTCCAAAAAGGGGAACGCTTCATAAGCGGCATTGCTTAGCAGTGGTTGAAACTGCTTTGCACTGCATTGCTTGATATTTCATTGCTCGACATTGTTTGGCATTGCTTGGCATTGCTGGGCGTTGCTTGGCGTTGCTTGGCATTGCTTGGCGTTGCTTGACGGTGCTTGGCGTTGCTTGGCGTTGCTTGACATTGCTCGGTGGTGCTTGGCGGTGCGTGGCGTTCTTTGGCGTTGCTCGGCGTTGCTAGCCTTTGCCTTGGATGGCTTAGCACTCCTCGGCTCTGCGTGGAATTGCTTGACATTGCTTGACGTTGTTTGGCATTGCTTGGCTTTGCCAGGCGTTGCTTTGCCTTGCTTGAGCTGCATTGCTTGCTTGGCATTGGTTAAGCGTTGCTTAGCGCCGCTTGGCATTGCTTTGGATGGCTTGGTACTGCTTCGCACGTCATTGCTTCGCTCTGCTCTGCTTGGCAATGATTTGCTTTGCATTGCTCGGCAACCAGACGACCGGGCTTCCAGGCAGCTGCACGCAAGAGTGACCCTGGGTAAGAGTGACCTTTGCTGCGCGGCTTTGTGGGACCGCGGGGGGGCCAAAAGCAAGCGCGCAAGCCGCTGCTACCGCTTCTCTTTCAGCCATCTGGGGGCCCACCTGTGCCCGCACCAAAGGTCACTCCGGCGAAAGGCCACTCTTACGCCCAGTCGATCCAGGCATCTGGGCAGCTGGGCCGCGAGCGGCCAAGAGGGGTGTGTGAAAGAGGGGGGGTGCAACTCTCATAAATGGGGGGGTCAGAAACGGTCCCCTTTCGTGCCCCTTTCGGGCCCCTCCGGACCCCCAGGGGGCTCGTTTAGGTACCGTTTGGGTACCTTTTCGGACCACCCTCACCAACCCCCCATTTATGACCCCCCCATTACGCAACGCCCAAGCAACCGGGGCAACCCGGGCACCGGGCCGTCGGGCAACCGGGCAAACCGGGCCACCCGGGGAAGGCGGGGCAACCTGCCAACCGGGCACCCGAGGCATGCCAAGCAGCCAGGCAGGCACCGGGAGAAGGCCCGCGGGTGCAGGCCTCCGGCCCACCGCTGCTATAAGCACCGCCAACCTCAGGTCGGGCGTGTCCCCCGACACGGTGGATTTTTCGGCGAATTATCCCGGCAAAGCAGCCTAACAGCGATGCGTAGGAACATATCTGGAAGCATCCCCCTTAAGATTCAGATGAGAATCCAGTTGTAGAATTCTGCTGTTCTCGCAGTCGTAGTCGCATTCGCGATGACAGTCGCAGTGGCAACGGCAGTCGCAGTCACAGCCTCAGCCTCAGCCTGCCTCAGCCTCAGCCTCAGCCTCAGCCTCAGCCTCAGCCTCAGCCTGCCTCAGCCTCAGCCTGCCTGCCTCAGCCTCAGCCTCAGTCTGCCTGCAGCCTCAGCCTCAGCCTCAGCCTGCATCAGCCTCAGCCTCAGCCTGCCTCAGCATCAGCCTGCCTCAGCCTCAGCCTCAGCCTGCCTCAGCCTCAGCCTCAGTCTGCCTGCAGCCTCAGCCTCAGCCTGTCTCAGCCTCAGCCTGCCTCGGCTGCAGCATCAGTTTGCTTCAGCATTGAAAATGTGGCCCAGGAATGGAGTTCTGGGAACTAGAAAAACACGAAGTGGCCTACAGTTGGCTCCGGGCATTCAAAATCATGCCCACGAATGGAGTTCTGGGAACACGAAGAGCACGAAGTGGCCTACAGTTGGCTCCGGGCATTCAAAATGTGGCCCGGAAATTGTGTTCTGGGAAGTCCAAGAGCACGAAGTGGCCTACAGTTGGCTCCGGGCATCCAAAATGTGGCCCGGGAATGGAGTTCTGGGAAATCGAAAAGCACGAAGTGGCCTACAGTTGGCTCCGGGCATTCAAAATGTGGCCCGGGAATGGAGTTCTGGGAAGTCGAAGAGCACGAAGTGGCCTACAGTTGGCTCCGGGCATTCAGAATGTGGCCCGGGAATGGAATTCTGGGAGGTCGAAGAGCACGAAGTGTGTGACTGTTTGCGAAAAACGAATTCGGACACGAGTTCGGACACAGCTCCCCGGATGCCGCCCAGACCCCCCTGTGGAGTCATCTGCTGCTTTCTTTTGACACCACTAGAAACCTATCAGCCTTCGCTGTCAGGTGAAATTATTCCGGCAAAGCAACCTAACAGCGATGTGTAGGAACATATCTGGAAGCATTCCCCTTAAGATTCAGATGAGAATCCAGTTGTAGAATTCTGCTGTTCTCGCAGTCGTAGTCGCATTCGCGATGACAGTCGCAGTGGCAACGGCAGTCGCAGTCACAGCCTCAGCCTCAGCCTGCCTCAGCCTCAGCCTCAGCCTGCCTCAGCCTCAGCCTCAGCCTGCTTCAGCCTCAGCCTCAGTCTGCCTTCAGCCTCGGCCTCAGCCTCAGCCTGCCTCAGCCTCAGCCTGCCTCAGCCTCAGCCTCAGCCTGCCTCAGCATCAGCCTGCAGCCTCAGCCTGCCTCAGCCTCAGCCTCAGTCTGCCTGCAGCCTCGGCCTCAGCCTCAGCCTGTCTCAGCCTCAGCCTGCCTCGGCTGCAGCATCAGTTTGCTTCAGCATTGAAAATGTGGCCCAGGAATGGAGTTCTGGGAACTAGAAAAACACGAAGTGGCCTACAGTTGGCTCCGGGCATTCAAACTCATGCCCACGAATGGAGTTCTGGGAACACGAAGAGCACGAAGTGGCCTACAGTTGGCTCCTGGCATTCAAAACGTGGCCCGGAAATGGTGTTCTGGGAAGTCCAAGAGCACGAAGTGGCCTACAGTTGGCTCTGGGCATCCAAAATGTGGCCCGGGAATTGAGTTCTGGGAAATCGAAGAGCACGAAGTGGCCTACAGTTGGCTCCGGGCATTCAAAATGTGGCCCGGGAATGGAGTTCTGGGAAGTCGAAGAGAACGACGTGGCCTACAGTTGGCTCCGGGCATTCAGAATGTGGCCCGGGAGTGGAATTCTGGGAGGTCGAAGAGCACGAAGTGTGTGACTGTTTGCGAAAAACGAGTTCGGACACGAGTTCGGACACAGCTCCCCGGATGCCGCCCAGACCCCCCTGTGGAGTCATCTGCTGCTCTCTTTTGACACCACTAGAAACCTATCAGTCTTCGCTGTCAGGTAAAATTATCCTGGCAAAGCAACCTAACAGCGATGTGTAGGAACATATCTGGAAGCATTCCCCTTAAGATTCAGATGAGAATCCAGTTGTAGAATTCTGCTGTTCTCGCAGTCGTAGTCGCATTCGCGATGACAGTCGCAGTGGCAACGGCAGTCGCAGTCACAGCCTCAGCCTCAGCCTGCCTCAGCCTCAGCCTCAGCCTGCCTCCTCAGCCTCAGCCTGCCTCAGCCTCAGCCTCAGCCTGCTTCAGCCTCAGCCTCAGTCTGCCTTCAGCCTCGGCCTCAGCCTCAGCCTGCCTCAGCCTCAGCCTGCATCAGCCTCAGCCTCAGCCTCAGCCTGCCTCAGCATCAGCCTGCCTCAGCCTCAGCCTCAGCCTGCCTCAGCCTCAGCCTCAGTCTGCCTGCAGCCTCGGCCTCAGCCTCAGCCTGTCTCAGCCTCAGCCTGCCTCGGCTGCAGCATCAGCTTGCTTCAACATTGAAAATGTGGCCCAGGAATGGAATTCTGGGAACTAGAAGAACACGAAGTGGCCTACAGTTGGCTCCGGGCATTCAAACTCATGCCCACGAATGGAGTTCTGGGAACACGAAGAACACGAAGTGGCCTACAGTTGGCTCCGGGCATTCAAAATGTGGCCCGGAAATTGTGTTCTGGGAAGTCCAAGAGCACGAAGTGGCCTACAGTTGGCTCCGGGCATCCAAAATGTGGCCCGGGAATGGAGTTCTGGGAAATCGAAGAGCACGAAGTGGCCTACAGTTGGCTCCGGGCATCCAAAATGTGGCCCGGGAGTGGAGTTCTCGGAAGTCGAAGAGCACGAAGTGGCCTACAGTTGGCTCCGGGCATTCAGAATGTGGCCCGGGAAAGGAATTCTGGGAGGTCGAAGAGCACGAAGTGTGTGACTGTTTGCGAAAAACGAGTTCGGACACGAGTTCGGACACAGCTCCCCGGATGCCGCCCAGACCCCCCTGTGGAGTCATCTGCTGCTCTCTTTTGACACCACTAGAAACCTATCAGTCTTCGCTGTTAGGTAAAAATGAAACAGATTCAGAACGTACGAACCCAGGAAACTGGGAACCCGGGAGCCCAGAAACCCAAGGGTTCCGTTCAGGTATAGGGCCTTCGGTCGACCTGGACCTGTGAATCGTTTGAATTGCGAGGAAGTCTTAGACAGGAACTCCCTCCCCATGGGGCCCGCCGCCGCTCATGACAAAACAAAAATCCGAGCGGGTAATGAGATGCCCAAAAATACTCAAAAATAGTCCCCAGGCACTTTTGGACTATTCTTGAATATTCCCCCTGTAGAGGGACAGGCCCGACTTAACGCTAACCCCATCAGGCAAGCCTAGTTCGGGGGGCAGGCTGTAAGAAGTCACGCTTCCTGGAGGGGTGGAAGGTCCTCACAGCCACCTGTTGCATGGCGATCAGCGGGGCCACGCGCTACTTGGCTCGT